CGAGCATACTTTATGACAGAAGTCTTTTCCTGTAGAGGCATCAGACCTTTATTGTCCTCCATTTCACTACAAGTAACAAATGTTAGGAACGATGCATCCTCGGAGGAGAGAGCTGACTCACCTAGTCTCAGCCATACACATGCGCTTGATCAGCTGACCAGTCTCATGCAACCGTTTCATAGTCTTATCAATCCAAGCAGCAATGTATCTAACCATGACCTCCACACGCTCATTTCCCTCACCAGGGACCACCAGCTCCTTTACATTTTTCCCACCCTCAACCAATAGGGTGATATAGGTATGTATACCCGTTACATAGATCCAATTACCCTGTTCTTTTTCGAGTGTTGAGTCTGCACCATGATCCATCAGGGCTGCTGCGTCATCTTCCAGTTTTTCCAGTAACTTCTTTACAGCATCAGATGTGTCTACTGTGGCCTCTGCACCATGCATTCCAGGTGCTTCACCAACATGAACAAGTGGCCGATGAGGCAACACAGCAAAATATTTGATTCTATTGTGTAGGTAGAAGCTCTGACACTTGTCACGCTGACGATGTACCATGCGAGAGGCTGCATCGGGGAGCTCTGTAATGGCCAATCTTTCAGCTTCATCCACAATAGAACTTGGAGAAACTACACACCTGCTCCATGTGTGATCCTGAAGTGATTGTCAAGTGTGCCCTTACAAGGCCAAGTAAGGTTGCAGAGCTTACAGGTGTAGCCATCGTAAGAAATCAAACCTTGCACTGGCTCACAAGGCTGACCAGGAACATAATCTGGTGGATACACACTCCCAGCAATCATATCGACATAATCACATAAGTCTACTGCCACGTCTGACTTTGTGAAAGCACAAGGAGCATGAGACCGCCTGCAGTGCCCCCATACCTCTGAGACATGAATGCCCACATGACATGGAACACACACCAGAATCTTACATCGCTTGTTCCATGCAAGATTATACTTGGACAGTATATCATGAACTACAATCACAACCACTTGTATCAGCAATTTGATACCCAGCATCCACCGCCAAACTTACCCTCAATCTCCTCACCACAAGGCACAACCACCCCAGTGTCACCCGCAAGGGTTTCAGGCCGCACTACTGATGGGCCAATGCCGGTACATTTCTTGACATGATCAGACAAATACCTAGGATTCGAGCTCCTATATACGCAAGCACCCCGCGGACACCTGAATGTATCATCGCCATCCCTGTACACCTCCACCCTATCCTCTTGAATAGTCAGGGTCACTTTACCTTGATGATTGACCCGTCTATGTTCGTCCAACTCTGACTTCTTATCAAATGTAAACCTGCAGTCATTATTCAGACACTTGAATTGAGGCATAGATAATCCTGCACCCAGAAACACCTAAGGAAGCCAGCAAAGGGACAGTCAGTTTACGATCTCCACACGCGGAGCGTACCTGGATGAGCATTACCGGTCGATTTCTCTCCTGAAGCGAGAAATCGACCGGCAATGTGGCCGCATTTACACATCAAGCAGACGCAGAAATCTCGCCCGAAGCGAGAAAAGCGTCAGGGGGTAGATCTAGTAACACTCACACGTTCAGTAATAACCAAGTGTCACACGTGTGAAATATCTGTGAAAGGGCGGTGAAAGGGAGCGGAAAGGGATGTGAAACTGTTATTGTGAAAAAGCGTCAGGAACCAGTGGGCAGACAACAAGATGCTGGAGAAAAACAACCCCTGGAAATGATCCAAGACTACTCAAAGTGACGACTGATTTATAGCTGGGCAGCGGAAAACCCCACCTACAGCTCTCAAGGGATCAAGAACCATTAAACCTAGAATGATGATAGAGACAATACTGTGCCGCAGTCACTGCGGCACAGTGGCTGCGCCTCAAGCACTCTTGAAGGTAAAACCAAATATACCTATAGGGCAGTATAACTATGTGACGCGATTAAGGGGCAAAGACCGAACCAAATGTCGCAAATATCGGTTGAAGCGAGATTTGCTCAGTGACTTATTTGTCGCATCAATCACAATCTCAATACAAAGGAATGTCGCGCAAATCTCGCTTCAGGCGAGAATTGCGCGATGATTTGATGGTGCGCAAATCTCGCTTCAGGCGAGAATTCATTCAAGTGGGGACTTATATTGCACAGGGATCTTCAAAGCAAAGGGCTCATCTCGCAAAACTGTATTGACTAGAGGAACAAAGTCATTGCACACAAGTATTACTCCTCCATACCTCCCTCGTCCTCCGCATAAGATGACTCTCCGCCATCATCGTATTCATCCTCATCGTCGCCCTCTTGAGTGCAATCGGGTGGCGCCGCTTGGCCCGACGCCACCGCCGCCTGTTTTTGTTGTCCAGCGGTCTCAGGGTATAAGCTAGCACCTCGATCCGTCACAGGGTAGGCCGGACCTTCTGTCTGACCCCACAAGGCGCGAAAAGACTCCATGGCCGGCGAGTTAAGTTTATATAACTTCACACTCTCAACCTCTACATGCCCCATGACCAGACCTTCGAGGCCCAGGGATAGGCCTGGTCTATGTGTTTCTGAGAGGAGGTCCAGCATGAATAAAGGGGCTAGTTTCTTCAAGGCGAACTCTTCCTGAAAGTAGGCAGTCATGCTGTCCCAGTTGACACGACTCTGTGGCTTGAACCGGCCATCGTCGCCTACGAACCTTCTTAAACTTCGGTACATAAGGTCATCGAGCCGATTCCACGCGCGAGCACCAAAAGCATGAGGTTCGTCCTTGAATTGTTCGAATCGGCGGTCCGAAAGTAGACTAGAAAGATGCAGAAGGGTGGCCGTTTCACTCATGCTCGCCTCCTTCCAGTTTGGGATCACATGAAAAAGGCCTGCTGTTCCAAACATAAGGAACAGCGCCAGGGAATGCAAGCACTGTTTTTTTGTGTTCGAAATGTCTCGAGACGTTTCGGCGGAGACTTTGTTAGTGCATGCGACTGGTAGGTAGAGTATCAGTGTGACTTACATGGTCCTGTGTCAGAGTGACCTTTACGCTTGTTCGCCGAGGTGTGATTGTGGCGACTTTGATCTCGGCTGATCACTGGTGGGTCGACATGCGTCGGGACGAATACTACCTCAGGGTTGGACCCTTTGAGCGCTTCCAGCAGCGCAGCCTCATTCGCCTTCATTTCCGCATGCAGCTCAACTAGGTAAGCCCTCGAAAGCAACATGGCTTTGTCGATGGCTCCGTTGCGCGACTTCGCCTCGACGGACGTGACATGCTCCAAATGCTTGTCGTATAGGTCTTTCACTGTGGGTGCGGCCAGGTGCGTTGGTCAGTTGTGCTGAAAGGTGGGGAGTGGTACAGATCCCAGCGTACCATCATTGTATTGCGCTCGCGCCGCCGCTAGCGCGACGGCTCTCGTAGCTTGAGTCGCGCTCATAGGCTCCTGCGGTGAAAGCTGATTAGTTTGATGGGCTATTCGGGTGCGGGAGTCTTGGTTTTACCTCGGTCTCTTCGGGTGGACCTCGCTTCTTGAAAGCGAGGGTCTTCAGAACGCGTAGCTTGGCTTCAGCCTCGGCGGCGGTTGCGTCCTTGTCCTTCGATAAGAGCGGAGTGAGTCAAATTGAGCTTGCGAGTAAAGTTAAATTGAACTGACAACTAGTTCTTGTGGCTCAGAAGCAGCGGAACCAGGAGGCGTGAAAATGTCGTCCGGGATGCCGTGAGGGTTGGACTGAGGTTGAATACGCTCGTCAGCGCGGGCGCGCGTAACACGCGCGGATTAAGGGAGGGTTTCCTACCTTAGGCGAGTCAACGCGTGACGCGTTTATTTGGCTTGCCGTAAGCGAGTGACCGTCAGCAGAAGCGGTGACATCAGCTGTATCAGCTGGTTCCTTTTGGGCGCCAGCCTGGTATGATGTAATTGATGCGTCAGCATCAATTACGTTTCTGAAAGGAAAGCCCTCACCTTTCTTGCGGCCGGAGTGGGGGTCTCAGGAACGTCTCCGGTGGGTTCCTAAACAGTGTCCGGTCTATGATCAGCCATCGCAAGACTCTGCTCTATAGCAGCGTGGTACTGACCGGAGATCGCTCCGGTTCTTCTACCGGTTGTCCGGATCGTTCCGCCGCCTAAGGTGAAGGCTTTGTGGGTCATCATGTCCTTGTGTACATCAGCAAATACATGAGGACTCACACGTTCCGCCAGTATCGCTCCCATGTTCTTATGGGGTCCGTTGTACTTGGTGGCTCGGGTGCGGCCTGTGCCCGGGACTGATGGCTGACGAGGTTGCTGCAGGATCGCTCGCTGTTGCTGTGCTTTGCTTGCGGCGGTTTGTTTCTGCGGTGGACACAAATCAGCTAGGGGAAGACGAGGAGTATCTGGAGTGATCAAGGACGCGCGATCACAATTCTCGCCTCAGGCGAGAATTGCGCGCTGGTGGATGAACTGATGATCAGCGATCATCAGTTCATACGGGGTGAAGGCTTAGTCACACCGCGTTGGGGTGTACAACGCCCGGCGACCACTTGAGCGATGTTCAAACGCCTTTAGCGTGAGCTTATGCCCATTACGTCACTCTGATATACTAAGGCAATGTATCAGCAGTGCAAATTCTCGCCTGAGGCGAGAATTGAATCTCGTTGTTTTCGGAAGGAGATTTCTCGCCTGAGGCGAGAAATCTCCGATTGGTATCTTGCGCAGCAGATGATATCTATTGGAGCAGGATGGTCGCCATCGGCTTTATGGAAGGGGGGTGGCGACTTACAGATGACATGTCTTCAAACGGGTTCGGGGCGGGTTTGCGGGTCGGGTACTGCGGGTCGGGTTCGGGTTTTATATTCTAAATTGGGTTTCGGATCGGATAGCGATGCAATGGAAACGGAATTTTGATTCTGGGTCTTTCTGAGTCAAGCAAGACTTTATATCATTTGTCTCTCACCAAGTTAGGTTTGTTATAGACCTAATTGCTGCGGCCCGATGACTGCGTCACGTGTACAGTTGGTATTGTAACCTCAGGCTGTATTGTAAGCTCGGGTATTATCAAAAATGATACACATGGGGTTCGAACCCAGAACACACGACTACCGCCGGGCACCTTAACCGTTGGACTAGCATTCCATATGACTACCCTACCCACCTCACTCATATGCTGATCGCAACAGGAGTTGCGCGGTCCTGCTCATCAGCGTGGATGCGTCTGGCGGGGTCAAGGTCACAGTGACATCCACTGAAGTGTACAGGCCACAGATATCACAGAGATGTCACGCCATGGACAGGCTAGTGACATGTCTGGAGGTACTCATAAGGTAACAGTAATAATGTGGTGCAAAGCTGTATATGGACCGGTGATTTCTCGCCTGAGGCGAGAAATTGACTGGTGAGGTGATTTGTCGCGTGAAATCTCGCCTGAGGCGAGAATTCGGCCTGTAAGCGTACGGTTCTGACGGGCTCAATGCGTAATGATGATGGCCCGTACGCTCCCGGGGGTAAAAGCGTACGGAGCGTGCGGTCACGGGGCGCTACGGGACTGCGTCCCGTAGCTAGGACCTGCTTGTCGTTTTCCACATGGTATGGCTTATACACTACGGGTGTCCAACTTTACAACCCACATCTGTTGATGTTTAAGTGATCAAAAGTGCAACTCGACGGCCTCTACAGCTTCTAAAATCGTTTCACAGATGATTGACCACTTGGCTGCTATAACCGCTAATCCTAACATCTACGATACTCTGGGCCTCCGTGCACTCTGTGCCTATCTCACTTTGGCCCTGCTCTTCTTTTGGCACTCCGTACACTTTGCCCCCACTATTGCTTGGCCCTGTGTTGCCCTGTTCCTCTTTGGCACCTCCGCTCTTCATTTGGCCCTACGTGAACCTTGGCCCTGTGTGCACTTGGGTCCTGTCAATTACTTGGGGCTATCTTAACTTGCCGTACCCACACTACCGTTATTTCCAACACCGGGTTATAGTTTCTACATGTTACGCACACTACTGAATACCCTGTGTTTTCTTGGGCCCGCATCTCCTTGGGCCCTGCGTTGATTTCCACTGTGTGCTTCCTTGGGCCCTACGTTAACCCTAGCTCTATACATCCATCTTGTCTTGGGCCCTACGTTCACTTGGACATTGCGCTTCCTTGGGCCCTACGTTGTCTTTGGTCACCCTTTGTCCTTACCCGCCCTGTGTCTGATTGTTCCCTGCTTGTTCTTGGCCCAAACATATTCTTGGCTTCTCCAATGTATTGGGACCTCTATCGCACGTCACCCTTTGGAATTTACACTGTTCTGCTTAACCAAACTATGTGTTACGCTCTACATGTTACACATACTATGGTTACTTGCCTCTACCAGTTATACATCCTACGGACACTCGCCTCTCCACCTTGGGTTGTCTTTGCCCCCTACGTATCCTTTGCTTCCCCAATGTTTTGGGTCTCCGTGCACTCTTGACTTACCTCACTCCCTTGGCCCGACCTACATCTCACCCATCCTCTTCTTTGGACCCTATGTTCACATCTGCACTCTGTGTTTTTGAAACCTACATTGTATATTGTCCAACCCATTAATTGGCCCTGTGTTTACTTGGCCCCTACAAATTCTTTGGTCCTCCTATGTCTTTCCCCCCCTGTGTATACTTTGGCCCTGCTTGTCCTTGCCCCCTACTGAATATTGGCTTCTCTGGGTTTTTGGCCCCCCTTTCTTTGACCACTAACCGCTTTGTTCCCTTTGGGCCTCTGTAACCAAGTGACCTACCTGGTTTGGCCCCTACATTGACTTGGCCCTCTGTACACATCACACCTGCTCTTCTTTGGGCCCTCCTTACACTTTGCCCCTGCACTTCCTTGGTTGTTACGTTCATGTTGGCCCTGCGTGATCTTGGGACCTACATCGTATTTGCTCCTACAAAATTATTGGCCCTGCATTTACTTGGCCCTACATTGACTTTGATCCTCTGTTTTTTCTTTGGGCGCTCCATATACTTTGGTGTTGCATGCACTTGGACCCTACATTGGCTTCAGTCCTCCATTATGTTTGGACCTGTGCTAATTTGGACCATACATCCTCTTTGGCTCTCCGCTGCCTTGGGCCCTACCTATAATTTGGCTGTTAGTTGACTTGGGCTCTCCTTTTTCTTCAATCATCTGCTGTCTGTGCAGTATTGACTTAATCTCTACTCAAGTCTTTGGTGCGCCCAATGATTTCAACTTGACAATTGGTGTTGAGTCAGTGTCTCGTGTTCACTATGACTCAAATTAACTTGCCTCTTGGTGTCCAGCCCAACACTCTTTTTGACCTCCTGAATTGACTTAACTCAAAATTACCTCTGCTAATTTCATCAAACATGTGTGTTGTCTTCACTTGACTCTTCGCCACCACTTGATTTAACCTTTGGCATTCCCTTGGGGCCACGTTTGTCTTGGCTCTCCGTATGTCTTTGGGAGTACGTTTGTCTCCAACCTCTGAATGCCATGGGCCGCCCTGTTGTCTTGGGCCTACGTCTCTCTTGGCTCTCCGCATGCCTTTGGGGCTACAATTCTTGGCCCTCTGGTGACTTGACTTGACTCTGATCCATCTCCACTCTGACTCTGATGCGTCATTGTGACTTGACTTGACTCATGATCTCACTCCACTAATGATCTTGACTGCAATCTTGGTCTACAATTGGCTGATCTTTGTAACTCGGACAACGGTCTTGGTCTCCACTGTACTTTTGTGCTCAACATTTGACCTTGGGTCAAACTTCAACTTTGGTTGTTACTCACCCTGTTTCTGGGTGATGACTTTGTTCTACCCCTGAACTCAAATCAATTACAACCTTGGTCAACGCGCGCCTTTGTCCTCCAAATCCTTGGGCCGTACATTTCATCTCTGGCGCACCATGATATGTTTTACTTGGGCCTCCAGATTTAATTTATCAGCCCGTGGTCCCTCATTTTTTCCTCTAACTTGGGTTGTGGTAGAAGCTTGGTACTTTCCATATTTGTCAAAGTTAACCGCCAGTCTGTCTATGCTTGGTAATTGTCCATGTTCCTTGGTTAATGGTTGGTCGTATTAACTTTCACAACCCACTCTTGGTTCCTCTCTTAATCTTGGCTATGTGCCTTGTTCTTGAATATTGGACTGAGCTGACTTTAATTGACTTGACCCACAGTGTACACTCCACTCTGAGTCTCTTTTTGACCGTATGTGTTTGTTTATTGCCAGTCTTTGTTTCGAATCAACTTTTGTATTGGTGCCAACTTGACTCTTTACGCCTGCCGAGTCCACCCTGCGTCTTCTTGACTTGACGTGACCTGACTGTTTCTCTGTGTAGACTTGATTCCACTTTGTCACTTGGTCTATCTCTCCACACCTGGTTTTGTTCTGGCTGTTGGATTTGGTGTTGGTATGAATTTGAGCAACTCAACTCCATCCAGTCAGAGTCTTGACATAGTCCAAACTCTGACTCTGCATTGCAACCTTGAATATGTGCATGGACAGACCAACCATGCGCCTGGCATCTGAGTCGGTGTTGCATGTAATCCTGACTCTGAAAGTCTGCTGGACTCTGGGAGTTGACTTGCCTCTTGCCTTATTTCTGCTCTTGGACTGTTTGTCATGACCCATATGACAGTCTTTAAACCACTCTGGTCATGCAATTGACACTTGAACTGAAGCTGTGCCTTGGAGTTAACTTGCCTCTTGGTTGGTCTTCTCCACTCAAAATTCAGTGTTGGTCTTGACTCCACTGTGCGTATTCAAGTCCCAGTTGTGAACACTGAATATTTGCGCACCAGCACTGTTCTCCCTGACCATTACGTGTCAACTCTGGACTGTCAAGTCCTGGCCCCAACTATGACACATCACTCCACTTTTGATGTTGCCTCAAATTTGTTTGTCGTGGTAACCCTTATGACATTGGGGCTATGTTTGTATGAACACTCCTTATGTCATTGGGCCTACGTTCATGTTTGCCTCCACTTTCTCTCATCTCTATGATTTTTTTGTGTATGTCTTTTGTACTGCGTCATTACACCTTTGTTGTCTTGAGCTTGCGTTTACTTTAGAACTCTGTCATTATGTCTTGTGACTGTTGTTTCCCCTTATTTTATTCTCCATTTCCTTTGTTACACTGTATCATCCTGCCCTGTGTCTCCATTGAACCTCTGTATGCTTTCAACCCCACTGCCGCTCTCCTCATATCCTTGCGTATGTGTGATGTTTTGACTCTTGACTCACCCTTTCACTTGCTATAACATCCATGTCTAATATTGAACGTGGTTGAAACTTGGTGTTCAATACCCATTTTTACATTTGACGTCCGTACTTGAGGAATGCCTACACATGCTATTGGGTTGGCAATGTGGTCTGCTGTTCAATCACTTGAATCTGCATGTTGGTATGAATCATGGCCTTAGGGTTAGCAGCTCATACCCTTAGTCCCTAGTTAACTCCATGTGTATTGGGTTGGTTGCCACTCTGGCTCTTGGTTTTGGTCACAACTATTAATCCAGAACCAGTGTCACAACCTTGCACTCTGATTTTGGCTCTGATATTCCACTATACTCCACTCTACTCCACTCATGCTCGCAACTCGCTTGACATCTGTTTTTGGCTTGTGTCTCAGTATCACACCCCCAATGTCACATTTGTCTGCACTGAAGTTGATGCATAATGACACGTTGCCTCACGTCTTGGCGTCTACATTTGGTGTAGCTTATGTGTGTTGAAACTGGGGCTCTGTTTACCTCCTTGTCTCTCCACTCATTGTCTCCAGATGACTAGCTATCTTCTTGCCAGGTGGTCTCAACTCTGCACTTAACTTGACACTTGGTCTCAACTCAACTTAAGAACTTGACTGAAGTGTTGGTATAGACTTGGCTTTTGATGTGGACTTGGAAATCCATCTCAGTCTGACCTTGAGTTCAGTTGGTCTCCACCTGACTTGTGCCCTAGAATATTGTCCTTGAGATGAAATTCATACTTGGTCATTACTCAACAAGGGTGTTGGTGTCACCATTGCATGGAACTTGGCTCCAATAGATCTTGGTCTACACTTGGACTTTTTTTTTCACTTGGCAAATCATTAGCGTCTAACCTCAAATCTTTAGGGTCTAACCCCTGAGCTTTCACCTGGAGT